AAGATTGGTCCAAGCACCCCAATTACGCGCAGGTAACACTGGGCCCCAGGCCATAAGTGAGGTTTAAAACCCGCCAGTTAGCGAATGGATCATGCTGATCCGAGCCGCCTGCGATGCTATTCACGCGCTCGAATGTTTGAACTCTGCGTTGTCCGTAGAAAGGCGTTCTCCCATGCAGACAGGGAGTGTACACCTTTTTACAAACAAGATTGCCAACATATGTGTCTTTTGACAGATGCGTCAGTTGCTACAAATGCCGTAGCATTGATTAGAAGCCGAGTTTAAAGAACGACTCGAATTTTGTATATCGCTCTAGATAGTTTAGACTTTAGTGCAATATTGCATTTGCGTTTTTATTTTCTGCTCAGGGCAATTTTGCCTATTCTACATGAAGAATACGGAAATGTGGCAAAGACCAAAGGGCGAAGATAGTCCAAATGGTCCCGTGCACTCTTTCCAGGAAGCCGCAAGCGGGCGGACATCTGCCGATACACGTCAACGGGGGGTTTACGACTCACGAACACGCGGCATTGGGACTTTAAGAGGAAGACGACATCTCTGTTGAACATCGCGCCAAAGGTAGGAGCCTTTTTTAACGCTTCTGTGGACAACTAGCGACAGATATAGCGTCTACTGTCTTTAGAGGAAACTGAGGCCAAATGTCAAAGTTATCTTCCGGTTTCGGGAGAGGGGACGTGTTGCTGGACGACTGCCTTGTCTCCAAGGACGACATTAGAAATTAGTACAGTTCCCTCACGCCAACGGTGACTGGCAATTGGGTTGAATGTGATTCTCCCTTTTACCAGACATTTGCAGATCCGGTGCCACCAGATTTGGAATGGGCAAGCGCTTATTGAAAACACGGATTTTATCCATATGCGAAAGGAAAGGTAACGTAGCACAAAGTGTGCGAGAAACTGGCAAAAGTTAGAACTGAGGAGCGCCCAAAGAAGCAACAGCTCACACGACGGTCCAAGCCGGAAATCCAGACATCGTCCACTCAAGGATAGTCCTCGACA